AAATGGAAAAAGCGGGGACATCATGGAAAACAGATAGAAAAGGATGCTCAGGACAGGCTTCGCTGGAGTAATGCTGTTGATGGCCTGTGCTCTCTGGGAGAGAAAGAGAGAGAGAAAGAATAAACAAAATAATTTGATCGCCTTCCTTCGTATCTTCCTCTTCGTATTTTTTTCTTGTCCCCTTTCTCACCCGTCTCCTTCTCCTTTCCTCATCCTCCTCTGTCTTTTCCTCCTACTCTTCTCTTGCTCTGTTTCCTCCTCTGCACCCCCTCACATTCTCCCAATTTTAGTTGTTATCTTCTAGACCATTTAAACCCCTTGTACTGTAACTGATACATTTCTGCAATCCTTTCTTCCTTTATCTCAATTTAGTACCAAACAGATTCGATTGGCATGATATCATTATTATACCCGTAAATCACACCCGTAAACCTTGGCTTCAAATCAAGAGGAAGACCAAGAAAGATCTGGCTGAATGTGGTTAAAAAGGTCCTGGAACAACATAACATTAACATATCTATCACAGACGCCACACAACTAGCACAAGACCGATACCTGCACCTCCCCTCGACATCCTAAGGATACCAGAAGAAGGAAACAGTTTAGAAAAAGAAAAAGTAGAAGTAAAATAACGATATAATTATGATTTTACAAGTCAGTCTATGTCACAATAATTTCACTTACCAATTTTTTATCGGGTTTCCCAGTGGCAAGAGAGATGAGTATAGCAGCTGCAGCAGTCATGAGAGTGATGAACATGGCGAAGTACATGTAATGGAAGTCGCTGAGGATGGGCGGCTCTGGGTACTCGTCCTTAGAGCCGCAGTACTCCTCGCCTTTCAGGATCAGCACGGAGAACAGCCGCACAACGCCTGTGAGCAGCGCCAGCATCAATGACCAAAAAGCACCCTGAAATGTTATTTTTTAATTTAAAATAAAAACATGACTTATCAAGAAGGGCAGATACAGCAATAACGATCACCGATCCTTTCCCAGTTCCCAAACGAATTGGCCATCCTGTCCTTAAAATTCCTCTCTCCCTTTCTCCCATCAGTGCCACCCCCGCCCCCAC